ATCATACATCAGCAATGCTGTCTGCAAATGTCAAATAATGAGTATCATGTTCATTCCAAATTTATCTTGACTGAACCCAAAGGAAAAATAAAAACATAAAGAATACGATACAAATGTATTATAGAAGTATTGTTTGGTAGTTACTATTTCTATTTAAGCAATCCACTCTTGTTTTGTACTAGAATGCCTCACTTGAATGATCTTGAACTTATATGATTCTGTTATAGTTATTTGATGAAATATTGCTCCCACTCATGTAAAATTAGCTGTCCCTCGACTCTTTCATAATGATATAGTGCAGCGGTTCTCAATCTGTGGGTTACGACCCCTTTTTAACAATGAAAATACAATGGGGCATTAGGAAGGTTGAGAACCACTGATGTAGTGGTATTGTCAGATCATATATGTTTGTACAGGTGATGTAATGCTAAACTCTCTATTTTTTTTAAAGGCTATACGTGTAGTAGACCATATAGCACATGGGAAGGAGAAGCAAGCTAGAGGCTCAGAACACACAGTAATCATAAGAAACACCTGTAACATCTCGGTAGTGTAACGCCTTGGTGATAAGGGCGTGGGGAGGGATTCAGCTCTCCTAACATGAGAGCCCTCGAGAGGAGAACATCAGTGATTAGCAGTCGCTACACCTGTGGTATAAGAAGCCACAGGATCACGTCTGTAAGAAGCTGCAAGAGAGGCGCTGGGGAGGGAGTGTGCTCATTCTGTCACGGACCCACTCACTCTGACTGTCACTTCTGCCCGTGGGACACCTGCCAGGCCGAAAGGAGGCTAAGTTCCATTCTCTTACTATAGACTGCTTCTCTCCCTCAAATACTGTCTGTCTGTCTCTCTCTCTCTCTCTCTCTCCCTTCTGTTAAAGCAAACAGCCCTCAGTGTCTAGACCATAGAAGCAGCCAGGGCAGGAGACCTAGCCAGTCTGGGGCCTTGATAAGTGGCGACCACCAAGAAACCTGATAATACATTTTCCTTTTATTTCCAAATATGTGTTCTTAATAATAGTCTGAAAAATTATAAGAATTTGGAATCCTACAATCTATCAACATCAAGAGATTGACAGGGAAATCTATGAGTTTATTACATGAGGTATATGTGGGGGAGTGTGAACCATACATGAACTTCCATGAAGGAATGTACTCTAATGCTTTCATGGTCTGGCATGAATCCCTCGGAAGATGCTCAGGACTGTGGTGGTGTGGAATTCCCGTGCCCAGAGCAGATGCGGAAACCCTACTCATTCTGACCAAGTACTTCTATAAGGAAAGAGCTGTGTAGAGTATCCAGACCTCCCAACTGTTTAAGACAAGACTGGATAGACTCTGTGTGTGTGTGTGTGTGTGTGTGTGTGTGTGAGAGAGAGAGCGAGAGAGAGAGAGAGAGAAATTCCCTTATTTTTGAACTAGTTAAGCCAAAGAAACACAACATTGTTTTTTAAATAGTAAGCACAAGTGTAGTGGAAACTGAAGAGCAGTTTGGGAATGATTAAGATGATGAATATATGATGAATATATACAGAATTGAATGAATGAATATACACAGAATATATACAGTACATGATGAATATATACAGAATAAATTTAATACATTATGAAATTTGAAAAGTAAGTTTTAGTATTAATAAAGTAGGAAAACACTGCCTTCCTGGGAAAAAGAAAACATCTGGTCACAAACGAGATTTAATTTTCTCTCTAACATGTAACCTACCCATCTCAACTCCTTGCCATGCCTCAGGACACCATCCAATTTTCTTCTGTATTTAATTTACTGTATCTTACTGTGATACATTCCTAACAACATCCAATTTCTCATAGAACATTCAAGTCAAGAACACAGGTATGTATGTTAGAAGAAAAGTAATTATTAACTTTTTGGAAAAATTTTGTTTTGGTTTGAGACAGGGTTTTGCTCTGTCACCAGGACTGGAGTGCAGTGGCCTCATCATTGCTCAGGGCAACCTCAACTCCTGGGCCGCAGTCACCCTCCCCTCTCCGCCTTCCAAGTAGCTGGGACCACATGCAGCGTCTGTAGGCATCACCACACCCAGCTAACCTTTCTTTCTCCTTTCTTCCTTTCTCTCTCTTTCCCTCTTTCTTTCTTTCTTTCCTCCCTTCCCCCTTTCCATCCTTTCCTTGCAGAGATGGGGTGCTGCTCTTGCTCAGGCTTGTCTTGAACTCCTGAGGCGATTCTCCTGCCTCTGCCTCCCAAAGTGCTAGAATGCTAGGATTTCAGGTATGAGCCACCACGCCTGACCTCTTAGGTTTTCTTATTTGTTTGTTTGTTTTTAAAACACTCCATTTGTCTTTATTTTAAACAGTGTGGTTAGAATCAACTGAATCTGCATCATTCCAAAGACAATGTTAAAGGACCGTATTCACCCTGATAAGCACAAGACCACAAACAAGGTCTCTTCCTCCAGCTGTTCTGACAGCTTCCAAAATCAACCAAGATTCTTTTATTAACTTACTTCCCAGGAGAAGATAGAAAAACAACTGCCCTAACCAGCCACAAAAGATTTTCTCTTTTTGAGACAGTCTCACTATGTCACCCTTGGTAGAGTGCTGTGGTATCACAGTTCACAGCAACCTCAAATTCTTGGGCTGAAGCGATTCTCCTGCCTTAGCCTTGCAAGTAGCTGGGACCACAAGCGCCCCAACAACATCCAGCCATTTCTTTCTTGCAGTTGTCATTGTTGATTTTAGCTGTCCGAGGCCAGGTTCCAACCCCCCCAACCTCAGGGTATGTGGCTGGCGCCTTACCCATGAGCTATGGGCACCTCATGGCCTTGTTATTTTAATATTAGTGTAGATGTGGTTGGGTAATAGACTCAGTATATTTCAGAAAAGAAGCTAAAATAAAGAGAATTAGTCATATTCTAACATGAAAGACATGCCACATTCACCAAGAATGAGGATAAAAGATAACATTCTTCCTAGTTACCTTGTTAATAAAACAACATAATTTTTTTTTTTTTTTTTTT